TCTTCAGTCATAGTGAGCAGCTGAAACTTCTGCTCCAGAATACGAAGCCAATGCTCCGCATCCCGAGGCTCAACAGTTGGCGTGAATGTGGGCGAGTGCGTCTTCAGGAAGTCCTGGTAGGAACAGGGCCCTACGGGAGCACGGGCACCACCCCATTCCCGCCGTTGCCATCGGGGCCTCCATGAGTGAAGCCACCAATAGCCAAGGGAAGCATCTCCAAGGCATAGGCTGACTCATGTTGAGCAGCCAGCATCTCCACCATCATCTCCGCATGGGTCATCGGAGGTGGTGGTGGCGGAGGAGGAGGAGCCAGAAGCGGGCCCTCGTGGCTGTCCCCATTGGTGTTGCCATTATCCGCACCATGACCGTTATCACCCTGGTCTGCCCCAACGCTGGTACTCCTCCGACCAGACCTCAGGTTCATCTATAAACAGATAAGAACCAACCATTAGGGACAACCATCTAGATTAGGAACAAGAGACTTAGAGAAATGATAAGGCTTTTATTAAAGTATTCTTTTAGGTTATCCTATCAATTCACTAATCCAAATTATACGTGTGGGGGAGTTTAGTTTAAGCAAGATTCTCTTTTCATGATGCATGCATCGACCTACCCGTTCACTCAAGCCAGAATATAGCGGCATTCGCAAAAAAAAATTGGCACATCGCACACTCACTTTCCGCTTGCTAAATGATTCTTACGCAGCGTAAGTTAGTGTACCTGTAGAAGATTGATTAGATAAAACTAGTGCCACTATCCTAGATAGACCATATTACTAGGGTTTATACTTATTTACATAATTTATCGAATCCTACTTTTCGCAAAGCTTTTGTTGGTCAAATTTTAGGTTTTGAAAAGAGTTATGAAACTCGTAACTCAACCTGGCTCTGATACCACTTGTGGCAGAACCGCCCGAAATAACACACCTTCGGGGGCGCTTGTCTTCCACTAGACACTAAGCACCCCGAAAGTAAGATACACCAGGCGGTTCCATCGAGCACACCCCAAGGGAGAACTCGAACAATCCACGTTTTTCATCCAGAATTCAATAATGAGAACGAGTTTACAATACTTAGTCCATTTCATACAACAAAAGTTCTCGGAATACATTATTACAATACCAAATTCAGAGTGCGGAATTTAAACAACGGAATTGAAATAAACATCTAACGATAAGATTTTTAGAGCTAAAGCTATTTCTATTTTGCCATAAAAATTCCTACAATTATTAACCTAATAATATTAAGTATTTCCAATTGATTTAATAGACCTCAGTTTCATCATAGGTATGTATGAAATAATTATACTAATAGATAGATAACGAATTTAAGAGCCTACCAAAATTGGTTTCATGATCTTTGGACACCTATATGAATTGTTGTTAATTATCAAAGTTCAGCTCAGAAATAAAAATAAAAAGCTATTTCTATTTTCTATGAAAAAGATAACCGAATCCGGCCCAACATGGCTCACAGCGAGGAGCCCACGTGCGCGCTGACATCTTAGCAAAAGCGCCGCTGGACTATGAACAAAACAACCCGTAGTCCATGTTACTATTCCTAGAGACAGCACCTATGCAAAAAGACCCTTGTACTCTCTCCTCTTTACAACAGCATGGTCCCTGGCCTCCCCCGCGCGCTCCGACGCGACGAGCGGTGGCACTGGCGACAGCGTCGGCCACCCGAGACCCATGCTAACCTAGCTAAGAGGCCGAATCTCACCAAGGGGGTCGACGTGAGGCGATGGGCGGCGGTTGCACGAGCCGGGATGCCATAGAAGGACCTCTCCACAACGGCAGGCACCCTGCGGCAAAGGCGATGGCATTCTGGTGAGCCACAGCAATAACAAGGCAGTAGGGGTAGCGGATGAGCAACGACGACTCACCAATGACCTAACCGAGGTGCCGACTCAGCCGGAGACGACCCGAGCGACACTGGCCACGTGCGCGCTGTGAGGTGAACAGCGGACCGCAAAGGCACGACCGCGTCAACTACAAGGAGGCGGCACTAGAGCCACGACTAGCGTGCGCACGACGAAGAGGGGTTATAGGCAAGGCTAGTGGTGCGGTCAATTCGACGCGAGAAGACGAGGTTGGAGCTAGCCATGGTGAGGCGGGCTGGGCCTTAATGGTTCAGCGACGGGAGCAAAGCTCCAAAATTGGAGCTCGGCCTGGCCGTAATCAAGGCGGAGTGGGGGCGGTCGGCAAGAGGACGTAAAGGAGGAAGCGTGGGCACGAGGAATTGATGAGAGGTGCTCGCTCTCTGGCTCACCGTGACCGCGACTCGATGGCTACGGAAAGCAGAGGGAGAAAGAGAGAAACGGGGCACGACAGGTGGGCTCGGTTCGTCCTCGCCTTGGCTGGACGCGAGCGGTTGTGGCCAAGGGACCAACGTCCAAGCATGAGAGGACGAGCGTGAGCATCCACGACCGGCCATGGCCCGCACGCCGTAGCGCCATTAATAGCGTGACAACAGCATGCACGGCCACGTGCGGATGGCACCCAACCGGGCCAGGGAGGGGGCAGCGCGATGTAGGGAGCAGACACGAGTACGGGAGTGACACGACGGCAGCGTCGCGATGCGAGGCAGCAGTGGGCAGACGCGACGGCAACGACAGCGCGGCTGCGGTGGCACTAATGGCGGCAGCGCGAGGCTAGGCAGTAGGGCGTGGTGCTAGCGGCTCGCTGTGGCCGGCCTCGGCCAAGCCCAGGCAGCCCGACCGACCCAGCGTGGCGGCGCAGGGTGACCGCGCGAGACGCGACCATGTGCGCGGCGTGGGGAGGCCGCGTGGTGACCGCGCACACGGCACCAACCAACCCGAGACAGGTGACGCACACGAATTTTAAAGCGCCCAACACGACTAAACGGTTGCTCCAGGAGCCAAACCATCTTCACCATGCTCAAGATGGTATATGTGACTACCAAATCGAGCTATAACACTACACTACTTCTTAACCCAATCTCTCAAAATAATTTGCTAAACATAGCAATGTCTAGCTGTTGATAGACTTGGAAATTTTCTAAGTTTTTGAGTTGGATTTGTTTTCAAGTTCCGTTTCTAGACTATTAGAAAAACTAGCTAATAACATTATTTTTCTACAGCAAGTATTTCATTGTCATCTACAAAGTTTGCACTTTAAACTTTATTTAAATATCACACACATGTTCTATAGCATTTTTGTTTAATAAAAATTGGTTTTAAACCCTACTTGTTATGCATGAACTATCGAGTCAACTTTTGTTTAGCGTTTTTATTGACCGTTTTGAGTTACAGAAATTGATCTACACACTTTATCACATGCATTAACACATAAACATGATGCTCATGACATATTTTAATAAATAATTTATGGTGTAACACCGAGGGTGTTAGAACTGCTTCTGGTCCATCATGCACTTGACCTTCTCCATTGCCGCTAACCTTCTTGGCAACCCAATACCTGCACATTCACAAGCCAAGAGACATGTTGCACAACACAGTCAACTCAACACAACACGATGCCTTCATTTAACCATTAGCATAATCAAGCATATATGAGTATGAACTCAACCAGGAAAGCCTCGAACCTCTCAATTCTTGTGTCAATCATTCATCACTCATGGATGAGACCAAGGCACTTCTCAACTTTGGTCGCTCATATATTGGTATGTCATATATGCTCTGTTTAATTAATATATCTCTCATCGTTTTGTTAATAGGCAAACAGAGGTGCTTTACTGCAGGACATTGCCTGATGGACTTGGGAGAGGTACCGCCCACTACCAGAAGAATTATCTCTAATATTTGTTGAATGCATGTAATTTGATCTTGGACTTCTAGTCAATGTGACCAGCATTGTTGTTTGATTTTATTCCACACAGGTTATGCACTGTATTGAGCATTATCCCCTATGAATTTAGTTCACTTCTATCTTGGAGAATAGGGATCTACTTTGATTTTAGTTCACGCCATCCGTTTGACTCTATTCCACTACTTCGATTTGCACTGTATGAAATATAATTATTCCTTAATGTTCTAGTTTATTTCCATCTGGGAGATTATTAGGACTGTACTTCAATTTAGTTCAATTTGACTATCTATGAACTTGCACTTGAATTTTATTGGTCTTGGTTGAATTTTAGGATCACTACTTCAAGTTGAATCGAGTAAATATGAGAACATGAACCCAAATTCAGATAGTCCGTTTGTATTTGCATCTAAGGATATTCGTATCCAGTAATCCAGTATCAAATTCAGACTACAATGTGGTAAAAGAGTCCTATCCAAATTCGGTTCCATGTATTCGATCATTTCCACCCCTACAGGGCATTCCTACCTGAATGCGTTTGCCACCAGCAGTTTGATATCTGTGCATGTTTCTGTCCTGTTTCATCAGTTTGTTGATCTCCAGAAATGTATGGCACTAGTAGAGTATATATTAATCTAGTGATATTAGCGAAAGAATATAATCACCTGCAGCTGAAGGAAATCAATCACGAACTACTAATACAGAAGTTTGCCAGAGCTTGATTAGGAAGATGAAAAAGTGAACGCTCTTCATTAGTTTATACTCATTAAGTAGTTGAGTAGTCAACTCAATTACTTGTTTGTTCAGTATAATCGCGCCGACCCAGCCACGATTACGTACAAGGCTTCCGACTTAGTAGCATTGTGAAGGTCTGAAGGATACAACGTAGGACGTGGATATGTCAACCTATAGCTGCATGCGCAGGCGGCTTGCACGATGCATCCAGGTGAACGCAAAGTGTTCCTGACCTCAACACGCGGCCAGCACGATGTGTTGGCGTCGCCGCGACGTACGCCGCGCGCCGCCCCAGAGGGAGCCGCTTGCTTCAGGCAAGGCCAGATGGACCCTATAAATTGGCACCTTCTCCTGACCTGCCTCATCACCACCCAAGACACACAACCATCTCACATTCTCATAGCCGTGTACGAGCCTTCACCTGAACCAACCAACAAGGCAACAAGGTGAGGCCAAATAGCTGTAGTCACCGCCAGCAATGGCCCGGGAGCTCGCCGCAGCGTGTGTGGTTGCCGCCCTAGTGGCCCTGTGCGCAGCCGCACTCGGTGTGGCCGCGCAGCCACATGCGCCGCGCCCACTGCCGTCCAACTACCAGATGATCACCCCGGGCAAGTACAAGAGGGACCAGCAGACGGCGTGCGACGATCCCAAGGACAAGAAGGCCAAATGCATGGCCAAGTGCGACAAGCGCTGCCCCAACCAGTGCATCGTCCTCTGCCCCGGATGCAAGACATTCTGCAGTACTTCCCTTACTTATTACACACAATCCTCACTCACTCTTCTCGCTCTGATCTTCACTACTAAAAAGACATTCGCGTTTTGTTTCCAAGTGTGCGACTTCTACCCCGGCGTGTCCTGCGGTGACCCGCGCTTCACCGGCGGCGACGGCAACAACTTCTACTTCCACGGCAAGAAGGACCAGGACTTCTGCATCCTCTCCGACGCCAACCTGCACATCAACGCGCACTTCATCGGCAAGCGCAACCCGGCCATGAGCCGCGACTTCACGTGGATCCAGGCGCTCGGCATCCGCTTCGGCGCCGGCGCCGACGACCAGGACCACCGCCTCTACATGGGCGCGCAGAAGACCGCCAAGTGGAGCAACGACGTGGACCGCCTGGAGCTGGCCTTCGACGGCGCGCCCGTCAGCATCCCGGCCGAGACCGGCGCCGCGTGGGAGCCCGCCGCCGTGCCGGGGCTCACCGTCACCCGGACCGCTGCCGCCAACGGCGTCAGGGTGCAGCTCAGGGGCGTGTTCGACATCGTCGCCAACGTGGTGCCCATCAGCGAGGAGGACTCGCGCGTCCACAACTACAGCGTCACGGAGGACGACAGCCTCGCGCACTTCGACCTCGGGTTCAAGTTCTTCGATCTCACCGACGACGTGCACGGCGTCCTCGGCCAGACCTACCGCGCCGACTACGTCAACCAGCTCAGCGTCAGCTCCAAGATGCCCGTCATGGGTGGCGCGCCCAACTACGTCTCCTCGGACATCTTCGCCACTGACTGCGCCGTCGCAAGGTTTGGTGCCCGTCGCGCCGGCATCTCCATGGTTACAGCTCAGGCCAGTTAAAGCCACTGCCACCCACGATAACCGTTTAGCCAAGCTATTTTATTTCAAGCATAAATAAATTTGTCTGCACGATTGTGCTGTTGTACCATGGGGTTAATTTGTCTCGGAATTCACTGATGAGCAATCCATTTGTTATTTAATTCGCAGGCTACATTTGTCGAGACTGATGCTATATATATATTTTTCTTTATTTTAATTTCCTTGATCCACACACATATCTCAAATTACAAGATCAAGCGAGTGCTTGTTCAATTGTTCAATCCACAAGCTGACTCAACACCTCTCCGCAAGTAATTCTAAATGCATTGCAAACAGATTGGTTATGCATGGATCAGGCTGCACTTTCCACCTTTGTATCCATGCTCTTAAACAATTTCAGATACAAATTTTAATATTTCCAATTACTAATACAAGTCGGGATGTTGAAACCTGATTCCAAGTTGGATATCATATAAGGAAATGCTCGTGCGCAGGCGTACAAACGGTTTTTCATTTCGGACGCTATTTTAATTGATCCAGCTCATATGGACGGCCCAATAGTCTCTACCTGACATATTTCTCTCACCACACTGCTGCTCGTCTTCCCGTCGCGGCACAGGTGCGGAGCGTTTGTGGCTAGCTGTGTCGTGCTCGCCTTTCTCCTTCGCCACTGACCACCTTCCATCGGTACCTCTTCCTCCCTCGCGGCCTTGCCTGCCCGTACCCGCCAGTAGCAGCCACGCAGGCGCGCAGGCGCCGGCTGACACATGTGGCCATGCCAGGCGTAGGCGCAGTTGGCCGCTGCTAGGCCGCGCCACCATCCTCGGGCGCCGGCTTGCCGGAATCGGTCGTTCCCCCACTCTGTGTTGCGTCGTACGGAAGAAGAAGGGTGAAAACCGCATGTTGCAAGAGTATGTTTAAAGTGTTTCGGATGTATGTTGCAAGTGTTGTATATCCATGTTGCAAAAGCAGATCGGGATGACGCACATGTTGTAATGGCTATACACGTATGTTTCAAGTGTATGTTCCAAATGTTCCATCTGTTCCAGACATGTTGCAAGTGTTTTATTTAGATGTTGCAAAAGTAGATCTGGATGTTGCATATACATGCATGTTGCAAACTTATTTTTCAGGTGTTTCATACGTATATTTATAAGTGTTTCATCTATATGTTGCATATGTTTTCGGCCGCATATGTTTTCAAATGTTTTCGGGCATTTTCGTAAGTGTTTTAGGCGCTTGTTTCAAGTGCTTTATCTGTCTTTTTTTGTATGTTGCAACTGTTGCATATGGATGTTTCAAAAGTAGATCAAGTATTGCACATGAGATGCATGTGGGATGTGGCTGACGGTGCGGGCGACGTTCGGGGCGTCGTGGGCGACGTTCGGAGCGGCGGGACCACTAATGGTGCGCTCACTTGTGAGCCTGATGTGCTACACGCTCACTCGCTCGCTCCATGTACGGGCGTCGTCCGGACACTAGCGCCCGGATCGGATGTTCGAGCGCTAGCAACTCCGTATCATATATACCCGTACAAGTCGCGTTGTTGAACCCTGATTCCAAGTTTGGATATCATATTTCATTTCGTTGGTAGAATCCATTGGACATATCTAGTGCTCAATATTTTTTTTATTTAGGGGTAGAGACATAGCAAAAAAAAATGTAAACGAATAGCACTAATAATACTTTTAGAGTTGTTTGCCCAAGGCCTTCAGTAGGGGCAGCAACCCTACAACAGTACGAATTGAACAGGAAAAACAGAGAAATTGAGACGCCTCAGGCCCCTGTGAAGGTTCTTGTTGTCCTAAAAGGTCTCGGACAAACAAAGAAATATATAACCATAAACCAACATTGATACGTAGTTTTTCACTGCCGGTTTAATTATGGCTGTAATTGACAGTGAAAACCTATCTATCACTGTCATTTACATTATCACTACAACTGATTGAACCTACAAACTGACAGTGATATACTATCACTATCAATTCTCAAGCAATCGGCAATGATAATGCTAGTAGTGATGTGTGTTTTGGAGAGTGCGTGGGCAGATAGAGGAGAAGAGAAGAGAACAAAGAAAAAGAGACTGGAGAGGAAGGCTTGACACCCAATAGGGCACCATACTTACCTACCATATTGGCAGCTCCAGTGGTGCGCGTTCATGTGGTACGACAATATTATCCTGTCAGGCTAATCCAACTATGCAATCAATTAAGTTAAATTACGGAATATTTTTTTGCCTGTGTTATTATTAAATATTGAATAAAAATGGATTTAAAATGAAATAAATTGTCCATCACGCCTCCAACTCTTTCTATAACCCTAATTTTCTGTTGTTTTTTGTTGAAAAACCTTCAGCTCCCACCAATTGGTTTTCTTTTGTTTGAATAGATGACTGATCTTTTAACTGGACCAGGACGACCAAGGCTTTAGTTCCAGTTTTCTCTAGTTGGACAACCAGTTGTCCATCACGCCTCCAACTCTTTCTCTCACCTTAATTTTCTGTTGGTTTTTGTTGAAAAACCTTCGGCTCCCACCAATTGGTTTTCTTCTGTTTGAATAGATGACTGATCTTTTAACTGGACCAGGCCGACCAAGGCTTTAGTTCCACTTTTCTCTAGTTGGACAGCCACTCAGGTCCTAATAACTTAGACGCATACACCAACCCTTATAAGCACCACTAAAAGACTAGGCTAACAAATCACGAGATGGATGAAGTCATCGTAGATATCTCGTTGTTGACTGACAAGTCGTTTAACGCTCAAAGGATAGTGTTGTCAAATCTTAAAATAAATATAGGAAAATACAAGTACCCGCATCAAAGTTAATAATTTGAATCTAGATGGAGAGATTTGATCACAAGAACCTAACCAATTAAATATAGAGCATCTCCAACAGAGAGTCAGAGACCCTAACTAGGGCCCTTACTCTACTTTTTGGGCTAGAGCGAAAAAACCCAAATCCAATGGAGCACCAACTCAGACCCCTGCTTTATTGAGATCCGCAAATCTCCTCCCTCGGCCCCATCTCCTATGGGTGTGTAGGGAGCTCCCTACTTCTCCCCTATATTTTGCCCCCATCGACTCAACGATGCCTGTCTTTTATTTTTTGTCAAACTCCCTCCCGGGCCGCCGCCCTATTCCCCTCTCGGCATGACTCCCGATGACCCTCTATCTGGTGCGAGGGCTATGTTGCCCTCAGTCCAGCGTGGCTCCCCTTCCGAGGCTCGACCCATCTCCTAGCAACTTCCCTTCCCAGCGCCCGTCCTATCCTATCCCTTATCGAGGCACTGCCGGGCTGCATATCTGCAGCCTGTTCGTTTGGTTGTGGCTTGTCGTAAACGATCGTAAATTTTTAGCCGGAACAGTATTTTTCTCTCACACAAACCAGCCAGCAGTACTTCTTCACGAACCAGCAACCGAACATGCTGCTGGTGCTCCTCTCGACCCCGCTGTGGCGTCTCCAGTGCTCCTTGCTCTTGCACTCCCATAGCTTAGTGCATTGGAACGATGACGAGTGCAACCCATATGCTAATGTCTGACGCCACCCATATGCTCTTGTTAGAGTTGCTCTAAGGGTAGCTCAAACAAAAACAATACTCTTCTTATCTATACAGTTGTATAAGACAGAAGACATCCTGAATAAAAAAAAACTTTATTTGCAGCAATGAAAAATATCGTATGCGTATTACGTATCAACCAACATGGAAAAAACATTGAAGAAAAATACGAGACACAATTTGTTACCGACGTCTGAAAGCGCCAGAACACACGAATCAACTGATGGAAATAAAGAAAGTAACGAATCAGTGAATTGAACGAATATGTTCAGAAACTGAGCCGGACAAATAAATCAACGAAACAATGATGGCGCAGATCCATTTTTACATGAACCGACAGACACGACGAGATTGAGGAGTCGTCAATCCGACATCCTGCGCTTCTTGATGGGCAATGGACTCTGCACCTCCTGTTCCTCGGTCCACCTCCTAATCCCGGCGTTATTATTCTCCGGCAGTGGCGTCAGGTTGAGGTCAAAGTTCCTGACGGTGACGCCCGACGACCCCGTCCCGCCCGACGCCGAGACGGACGCAGACGCGGACCCGGAGACCGACACGGACATGCCGTCCCAGTAGTGGCAGCGCTTGTGCCCGCCGAGCGCCTGGCCCGTGGCGAAGCCCCTCCGGCAGATGGTGCACCGGTGCGGCCCACCGCTAGCCGCCGCCGATCCCGGCGACGCCGTCGTCTCGTCGAAGTCACCCCCGGACGCCGTCTGTGCCGTGGCGGCGTGAGCAGCGGCGTACTGCTCCGGCGTGGGCGGCTTGCGGTGGCTGGACTTGTGGCCGCCGAGCGCCTGGTAGGACGCGAAGGCCTTCCCGCAGACCGCGCACCGGAACCGGAGCTCCTGCTGCGCGGGTGCGTGCGTCGGGCACCACTTGTTGGTCGGCTGGTGCTGCTCCCGCTCCCGCTCGCGACCGAGCCCAAACTTGCGGGTGCCGGCGAGCGCGGCGAGGCAGATGGCGAGGTAGTCCTCCTTGCTGAGCGCCGGCGCCGCCGGCGCCGGGAGCGCAAGGGAGAGCGCGGTCGGGTCGATGACGAGATCTTCCAGGCCGGCAACCATGGCTACCCGCAGCAGCTGATGAGAAGAGCAGGCGTGGCGTGGCGTGTCCTTGGACTTTTAGCTCGTTCGATCGATCTTGCGTTCGTCGTACTACGTTAGCCGCCGGCGATGAGTTGGAGCGAGCTGGAGTTTGTGGAAGGAGGCGGCGGCTTTGTACGTCTGAATATATAGCAGGAAAACAGATAGACCAGGTGAGAAAATTAACGAGATGGGTGGCGTGTGATGATTTGGTTGGTGGAGCAAGTGAACAAGTACGCAATCGCACGCACGCACGCGATCCGGTCAAACATGCAGGCGGTTGGCCGTTGCTGCGTTGGTTCGCGGCGCAGCCAAGGTGCCCATAGGGGGTACCAGTATATATATATTTATATTTATGCAACGTTTTTGTCTGATAGCAAAAGCTGTCAAACATTCCTAAGACGGTCTCTAACAAAAAAAAAACATATAGACGCCCTCTAAAATCAGTCTCCAACAGAGTATCTATACGGGGGACCTGTTTTGGGTTGTTTGAGGCTGTCTCCAACAACCGCGACCCAAAATACAAGACACATTCGTCCTTTAGGTAGCGCTACAGGCAAATGGTTCAATACCTAATTTTAGTCTTCTCCAACAACAAGACACAAAAGACAATCATTTCTGCAAATGGATCTTCAAGAGAGAGGATACTCAGATTTAGGTTATCCTCTCCCGGCACCCAAAATGGGTTTTCCATATATGTACTCTGTTGAATGCTATAGGTATTGTGTTGGAGACCCATTTTGGGTTTGGGTTTCGCAATGGGTCTCCCGTTGGAGACAGCCTGAGAGGCATAACCCAAATATGGGCATCCTCTCTCCTGAAAACTTATTTGCAGAAATGATTCCCTTTTGGTCTTGTTGTTGAAGAAGATGTCGAATAAGTATTAAAACTTTTGCCTGTAGCGCTACCCAAAGGACGAATAGATCTTATAGTTTAATAGTTTAGGTGTCGTAGTTGGAGATCGCCTAAAATTGCCCGAAGGGTACCAGTAACTACGATTTGTATGCATGCATGCCGATGCAGTGAACCAGTCGCCTAATTGGTCAATCAATATGCAAAAACAGCAAAAAGATATGGCTTCTTTCGCTGTCCTACGGCACCCTTGCAGCAGCTTCCCGGAAATGGCAAATTTGAGACCGGGGTAGCACACTCATCCGTTTGTTTCTGCATTTCTGCGTGCTAGCCTTTTGCCATTTCCGGACGTACGAAAGAATAGAGACATGCAACGCATCCGCGTGCGGTCAATGAATAGGACCATCTTTTGACTGCGTACTTGACCTTAGTACGTGTGGTTCGTTGTCCATCCAATTCTTGCCAAATTCGAGAGCATGCCGTACTTTTACCGTGGAGTTGCTATTTTGCGTTATATAAATGATTTTAGGAGACTTAGTAGGATTTAAATTAAAGAGGCGGGTATGTATGGACCACCGCATCTTAACATCAATTCATAGATCAAATGGGCAATGCAAAACAATTAGTGTAATTTAGAGATGGCCTAAAGACCCACCACTAAAAAAAAGTCTAGACTCATAAGAGAGGCCAAACCTCTCTTTTGCTATCACGTCATTCGTCTTACTCCGGATGTCCTCTCCATAATAGAGGTCCACTCATCCTAGCACCTCAGGCGACACCACACGACCCTCACCCCCTCACACTCTCTCCTTCGACGGTAGAGTGTAGAGATCCAAAGAGAGCGTGTGGAGATCTAGTGGAGGTATGCAGGAGCAACCCCTTTAGAAGGGGCAGATGGTCCACGCCCTCCTCTGGCAATCTAGCGCTATCATGCACGTGGCTGACACAACCAATGCCCTACTCTAGCAGTGGAGCATGCCCTGCCCACCTTTGGCGGTGGTGCGTGGCACACATCAACACAGGGATGCGACAAGGTAGATCCATATATATATATATATAATTCCAACTTCTTCACCCTTTTGAGTTAAGCTTCATGCAGGGCACCTTATTCTCCCGCCAACACTCCTCTCACCGGTAGCAACACACAACCTCACATGTTGAGTACCTAACAACAAGGTCACATAAACTCCTGGATTAGCCTAATAAAACTGCGATGAACCCCCTGACCGATTCCCTTAACCCGTCAGGGGCTCGGGAGCTACACCCAGCGAGTGCACTCGCGCGCCCCACTGGATAGTGGAAAATCGCCCAACAGGCCCAAGGTTGCTCTGTTAGAGAACAACCTCGTCGCCTTGGAAAGAATGACTTAGGCCAGGCTAGCAACTGAGCTCCACAGACTCCTGAGCAACCCCGGCCTTAGCACCAATGGTCGTGGCCGACCAAGGAGACCAGGAGTTGTGGGGTCGTGCCCTATCGTGCCGACCAACCTTCCGCTCGCAACGACGCGAGGAATCTCCTGGGAGGCCCTAACAAAGGTCTGAAGCCTGACAAGATGCCAGAGTTGTGGCACCCCTAGCCCTGCCGACGTTCTGTTGCCCCTCGCCCACGAGGATGTGTCGGCCACTTACTATGCAGGAGCATGCCCCGGGGCATGACGCAACACGACAAGAAAATGTGTGTTGTCTCTCCAAGGAGGAGATGGGAGTGTGCCCCCCCAAGCCTCTCTAGAGATGCGGCGCACGCAGCCGATGCTCTCCTCTAGTAGCGGCATGCATGTGGCCCACGCAGCCTATGCCCTGCTCTAGAAGTGGTGCCCTTCTACCCCTCTGGCGGTGGCATGTGGCGCACGTGCACATAGGGATCCGATGAGGCAATATTCATATATTAATTCCAACTTCTTCACCCCTTTGAGTTATGCTTCATTTAGGGCACCTTCATCTCCCGCCAATACCCCTCTCTCAGTTCCAATTGCCCGTGGTGGCTCCATGACACCAACATGATGAGCTCGACAACAAGCTCTTGGCTATAGGGTGCTAATTTTCCTTTTCTGGTTTATAGAGATGGGCACTGTAACCCACATGTGTAATGTGCGGTTTTAATTGAATAGATGATTATTCAGATGTGTAAGTTATTGCCGCCTCTGAAGCTGTATTGTAGTAGTGTGAATCCGGGTAGACAAATTCCACTATAACTGTTTTATTAAATCATCCTTGTTGACCTAAACCGGCAGAGAGTTTCAAATATGACTGAATAAACTTGATCCTTGCGACCGCTTTGCAGATTATGCACACAGGGTTAATGTTAGTTAGGTTACGTGGTTTGTGTTAGAAACGATAGGCAATATAAACGACGAAGAACAGTAGATCAAACACGGGGGAGACGAGATTTTAACGTGGAAAACCCTTCCAAGGAAGAAGGAAAAACCACGGGCACCATCCAGCAAATCTTCACTATATCGGGTGAGGTTATAAACGTCGGGGATTTTATATCTTTTCTCATCCCAAGACGACGGCTTACAGGAAGTATATATAGAGATGGAAAAACCCTAATAGGCGACGATCCGTACCGCGGGGGCTCCCCCCCCCCTAGGCGTCCCTGGGTGCAGCAGGGAAACATGATGGGCTAACTTGTACATAACTGAATTTGGATTACAACTCAATAGTTGGGTGAAATACCAGCAGGTGTTTCCTAGCTATACGGTACTTGTCCACATCCCTTTGTGTAGTTTTCATGCCTGATCTGATCAGTTAAAATGTTCTCGATTTTTGTCGATTGGAAGTCGGTGATTTGTTTTTGGATGAAAATACTTCATCCAAGTCGGTGGCTTCCAAAATTTGAGTTATGACTTGCGGTTTTTTATTAATGAAAAGTCACGGGAGCTGAAGTTGATTATTAAGTGGAGAGAAGAGTTCAAGATCATGGCCCCCAAAATTCTTCTAGTGCACACAGATGGGTAAGTAGGAACTTTTAACTATACTATAAAAATCAAAATCAAATATCTTATTAGTGTAAAAGAACGAATCAATAATCCTTCTTTACATGAACCGAGATTATGGACAAACAATCTCAAAAGTAGGCAGTGAGAGCTAATGAATCCGAGATCCTGCGCTTCTTGATCGGCAGTGGACTCTGCACCTCCTCCTCCTCGACCCATCTCTTCACCCCGGCGTTCTCCGGCACAGGCATCAGATTGAGGTCAAGGTTCCTGACGGTGACGCCCGATGACGACCCCGTAGCGGACGCCGACGCCGACAGGGAGACGGACACCGACGACGTGCCGTCCCAGTAGTGGCAGCGCTTGTGGCCGCCGAGCGCCTGGCCCGTGGCGAAGCCCCTCCGGCAGATGGTGCACCGGTGCGGCCCACCGCTAGCCGCCGATCCCGGCGACGCCGTCGTCTCGTCGAAGTCACCCCCGGACGCCGTCTGTGCCGTGGCGGCGAAAGCAGCGGCGTACTGCTCCGGCGTGGGCGGCTTGCGGTGGCTGGACTTGTGGCCGCCGAGCGCCTGGTACGACGCGAAGGCCTTCCCGCACACCGCGCACCGGAACCGGAGCTGCTCCTCGTGCGCCGCGGGGGCCGGCGGCGGTGGGCACCGCTGCTGCTTATTATTGCCGTGTCCCTGTCCGACTCCCTCCTGCTGCCGCGCGAACCCGAACCCAGCGGCGGCGGCCTTGCTGAGGCCGCTTCCTCGGGTGCCGGCGAGCGCGGCGAGGCAGATGGCGAGGTAGTCCTCCTTGTTGAGCTTGAGCCCCGTCGGCAGCGCGAGGGAGAGTGCGGTAGGGTCAGGAAGAGCTTCGAAACCGGCGGCCATGGCTACTAGCTGATGACGATTGATGACAGGTGCTGAGAAAACTCTCCGGCGCACGTCGCTAACGTTCTTGGACATCTAGGTCTTAAGGCTGGAAGGCGTGGATGGATCGGAGATGGAAGAGGAGAGGGTGACCGGTGTGTGTTTATATAGGGACAGCGAGGAAGTGATCTACGTTTGGTTTTGGGGGCAAGCTAAGCAGCAAGCGAGTGCAGAGGTCGCCAGCGGCCAGTCAAACATGCGGGCGGTGGCCGCTGCTGCGTTGCTTCTTCGCGGGGCATAGGCATACAAGTTGCCAATAGAAAATTATTCCTACTACTATTTGCTGGTAGTTCAGCGGCGACTCGAACGTGAGCGGTTGGGGCCGCCGGTGGCTACCTGAGCTGCAGATCCGGTGGCGCAGAGCGTTTCTTTGGGGCGACACGCGACGCCACATAGGCGGCGTGTGAACACCAGACCAAGCAAGAGCAGCTTTTCGATCGGTATATATTTTTCTTTTTCATTTCCCAGAGGGAAAGCTGAAGAAGAGGTGCGCGAGCTACTGTGTGCGCTGAATTTAGACTGCTTCGATTCGACTGATGAAGGGATCAACCTGTACCCACTCATGTGTATACGCATGGAACGCATCATGCACGCGTTGATTGAGCTATCCATGCCTTATTAGAACGGACCTCCAACTAAGGACAACGCCATATATAGACTACCTCTGTCGAACTAAGAGTCAGCCTGTCGCTTGTTGGTTTTAGCAAGGACTTATCAGACATGGTATAATATTTTTCTCTCACAACAAACCAGCACCAGCCGGGCTTATCAGCCCAGAAACCAACCAGCGAACAGGCTGAGTATCTTCACCAAATCTCCTTTTCTCTTTCCTTTAAGATTTGCTATAAAGGGCTGGAAAAAAGCCTGGAAGTACATATAACCCATCTTATTGGACTCTTTTTTTCTTTAAAAAAATTGCTATAGAGGCGTGATTGTGCGTACATTGTGAGCGTCTGAATTTTACTGTGTAATCTAAAAGAGAGAGAGAGAGAATTAGAATGTGGCATGAAAGTATAATTGTCTCTATGAATGTACTACTTAATATTAACTATATTTGACCATCTATGAATCCTTTTTATATATTGGAGGACACACGAAGAAACTATTTTTTTAATATAGATTACTCAAAATATTTTCAAAATCAAATTAAATATGTAAAAATGTAATTAAGAATGTTCTAAATAGCGGACTATAGCATCTAGAGGAGAGGTCTGATTAGATGCTATAGCCCTCTATTTAGTACAATGGTGTTTGTAGAGGCAACTGGTGTGAGCCGCTATAGCCCGCTATTTAGTACAATGATGTTGTAAAGGCAACTGATGTGAGCCACTATAGCTCTGTTATAAGCCATAACCCGCTATTTAGAACATAGAATTTAACCAAATCCAGAATGCTTTGACTCTATGCAAAAATGTCATCTATTATTTAAAATTCTGAGAGATGCCTCTAAACTTCTGACACATACTTTCAGTCATGTAATTTTACAAGATGTTTTCTCTTTCTCAGGAAGGATGCAATTCTAGTATAATATTAAGTCAAAGCATCTTAATAAATTTGATCAAATTTCAAAGATACTAATATTTATCGTAATAATAGGTATCATTATATTCATATTGGAGTATATTTTCATAGTATATATCTATTTGGACTTATAAATGATGATACTATTTTCTGAAAATTAATCAAACCTATGATATAGTTTTACTTAGATCAAACCAAAAATTGCATGTCATGTCTAAATAAGAGCCGTTACACCTAACTTTTTATTATGACACCATTATAAAAATTGCGACAAAAAAGTGATTGTAACTCTGATGTCAAGGTCTCTAGTTGCAATACTTTGTCCATCCCAAAAATAATATACTCCGTAACTACATCTAGGTTTGTCCTAAGTTAATAAACTATGTTAGATTTGATAGGAGAAAATATCAACATCTACGACATAAAATTAGTACAATTAGATCAATTACCCAATAATTTTCACAATAATATACTTATTTGATGTCATAGATATTAATTATTGTTTCAATTACTTGTCAAAATTAAAATAGTTTGACTTAGCATAAATAACCCAGAAGTAGCTATATCTTTTGTTGGAGGTAATACAAACTAAGGGCAATAAATTAAGTGCAACTAATGTACTAAATATAACTTCAAGTGGTAAGAGACCTTAAAGCACATGGATTTTTCTTATGTCATATCCCTACAACACAAAACTAATGCAGTAATTTGAGGAGGTAGAGCCTTTTAATAAAACAGTCATGTAGTAATTCCCAATTAATAAACTTTGAATATACATATTTTTAAGATAAAATGGTAACCCACCTACCAAGTTTTTGTATGATGGATGTAGTTTAATGTTAAAAGTAAATAATGATGAACACTATGGTTATCTTTGGTTTGCTCTCAAGATGGGCTTGGGAACATTGCCACCACGTTCGGTCATATTGGCATATATCTATATAATATATAGATGTGACCTCATCAAGTCCTCAAAGTCCAAGATAATTACTCCAACAATATGATCCGCTAGTGGGGAAACCTTGCTTCTGCAGTGACTGATGAATCAGTCAATCAAAAAACACAATAAATATTTGTATAAAAAATACAAAAAATGTTTAATTTTGGTAATATACATGTTCCCCCAAAGGACATATGTTAGTTATCAGATACATAGTCTTAGTAAGATTTTAATTTTTACACAATTTGTCACAATTAACTGTATACTCATTTCGCAGTGACATCATAGTTCATAGTCTAGCTAGGTTAACGATAACCTCATTTATTAAATTGCAGTTTACTTTAACTTTATTCTAAGTCAAACTTCTTTAATAACTGATTATTTTTTTTAGAAAAAATACTATAACATAAAATTAGTTTCATTCGATTCTTTATATACTTTTTACTGTACATTTATTTGAACTTGTAGATGAGAAGGTTTGACTTAGTATAAAATCAAATTACAAAGCATACTACGACAAACTATAGTTTGGAATGGAAAAGGTACTCTGTATTATACGGCGGAAACCAGAGAAGAATGACCATAGCCGATGTGCCCATCTGTCTAGGTGACGTACGTACTCGGGACTGTAATAAGCCGGCAGCAACTTCCCAGAAATGGCAAATCGGAACAAAACAATATATTCCAGCAGAGCTCCGTGAGAAATGGATCGCGACAAAATCACGTGCTGCAGGAGCACAGCCTCTACCACTGCGGATAAAACAGCAAGCGTGCCAGCATCAATGACCGGCAGACTAGTTTTTGAGTTTTGACTGCGTGTAATTGATCTAGCAGCTAGAGCTGGGATTCGGGCCGGCAGAGTCCGCTTCATTTGAATCTCGGCTTTCCAACTATTCTAGATCTGATAATGGACTTTGCAAATATTCTAGATGATGTTATACTAGTATTTATTTGTCTTTTCATAACTAGATGTTTTTTGAGACAATGTTTTCATAACCTTGCTACGCTTAGGGCGTCCGACGCCCAGCCAGAATCAGACGGCTTACCAATAAAAAAGAAATCTCGCACCATGCTTATTTCCACGCCGCTTCCTTCCTATGGATCCAGGAAAGTCTCATCCTCTCCCCCTGCTCTCGTTTCGCAAACACAACATTATCCTCTACCCTACTGCTTTTCCTCCCATCGATACTAGCGCCTGAGCCCCAGGAGATTGGCGGCGGATGTTGCCTACGGCGCAGAGGCGAAGGGACTCGCCTTGCGACTCGTGCCCATGCTCAAGATGCGCAACCGTCGGAGAGTGCGGCAAAGGATCCGACATGTCCTTTTTGTCCTAGTCTGGCCTGAATCCGCACAGCAGCTCGTCGGTGGCTGCACAGCCGCTCGACGGGGCCTCGCAGCCCCCCGTCTGGTGGCATTCCCCCCTCCCACGCGGCACTCCACGGCATCGAGCCCACGCCGGCGTCGAGCTCCGTGTCGACGAACCTCCATTCGTCCAAGCAGCAAGTAGATGCTACGTTGAAAGTGCAAGTTGCAAGCCTATGTTTTAATTGCTTCATATGTTTCATAGGTATGTTGCAAGTGTTTGTTGTATATGTTGTAATGGTTGTACACGTATGTTGCAAGCTTCTGTTCCTAATGTTTCATCCGTTTTCCAGACGTATGTTGCAAGTGTATTTATTTGGTTGTTGCATATGTTTTACGCATATGTTGCAAGTGTTTTATCTAGATGTTGCATATATTTTTGCAAATGGTTTCGAGTATTTTTCAGGTATTTTTGCAAACATTTCAGATACATGTTTCAAGTGTTTCATCTGCCTTCGGACGTTGTTGCAAGTGTTGCATCTAAATGTTTCAAAAGTAGATCGGGTGTTGCATCTCCCTCTTCGCCTTCTGCTGCCTCGCCTCGGTGTCTCCTTCTCCTCCCGGCGCCAGCTGAGCATACGCCGCCCCCTCCCCTTCATCTCAATGCTGGTGACGTTCGGGACGGCGTGGGCATCCGGACATCCCGTCCGCCCAGACGTCCGGGCTCTAGCAAGCCTATTTCATAACTAGATAGCAAATGGTTACACATTCTATACATAGAAGACATATTTGGTGTTTTCCTAAATGACGATTATTATAATAGGCTATAGAGAAGGAAGAAGACACCAACAATTAAATGAGCTATTTCCAGTGTCATGCTGCCCATACCCGGCTAAAGGTGCGGATCATATTATGCAGTCCATCGTGCCGCGAGGTTTTAGGTACATCACGGAGCATGTTCATCTGCACTGTTCAGAAGTTAGTGTTATGCTTTGGGCTGTGCTAAAAAATCATGTCATGACCCGTTTTCAAATAGCATGCATGGTACAAATCTCAGCTCTAACTTAAGACCAATCTCTTGTCTAAATATTTACAGCAGCACAGCACTCCCCGGTTTCGACTCCACATGCATGCATAATACAGGCACTCGTCACTGTCGTCATATCCATCCCTTTTATCCAACTCCGTAGTTAATGTT